TGCCTCAGAGTTTCTGGTTCAGTAGGTCTGGGGTGAGACCAAGAATTAACAATGCTAAGAAGTTCCCAAGTGATGCTGCTGCTGCTGGTCTGGGGGCCACACTTTGAGAACTGCTCTCCCGGAGCATGTTTTTCAGAGTGGTCTGAGGCTTTGCTGCTGCTACCTGTACAACACTTGGGACATTGGTTAAAAACGCAGATTCCTGGGCTTCAGGCCTATTGATTTCGGTTGGTGGGATGGGAGAGATGCAGAAATGGTCAGGAGTCTGCATTTTCACACTGATGTTTGTGAACTACCGTTCCTGGTGGGATACAGGAAGTTTTATCATTTTATCTGTCCACAACCTTAATTTTCATTAGCGCTATATCTGTTTTATTTCCAAGCCAGGACTTTGCATAGCCTGTCTGAGTTTTAATAGCACTTCCAGCCTCTGTGCCACCCGGCTTCTAGCCTTACCGATGTGGATTCATCACACCATCTCTGAAACCTCAGCAGCCATCCCTGTGGGGAAACCTACACAGCCATGATTTTTCAGTGCCCATCACAGAACATCTAAGACTATGTAAAACAGACACCCAGGTGGTGTCTAAATCCCCAAGGAGCTCTCGATCTAATGGGAAAGCCAATAAGACAGAAAGGGCATAAAGCAGATGTTAAATTGTGACTTAGTAGGATACACCGAAGGCTGTAAAAGGGAGGGAGGTTTCTCGGGAGTAGCTGCCCAGAAAGGTGGGATTGGTGCTCTAACTTGAAGGGTGAGTAGGATCTTCTCAGGTGGCCATGGAGTCCAAGAGCTGCCCTGGGCAGACGGAACAGAGTAGCAGGTGAGGAGCTGCAGCTGAGTCCGAGATTCGCGAGGCTGGAGGAAGAGACTAGGACTCCCACTCCGCCCTCTGACCCCAAGGGGCCTGGCTTGGCTGCTTTGTGCCTCAGGTGGGGCCCAGAGAAAAGTGGCTTGTCAGTCTGTCCTGAGTATCCAGAGACTTGGTTAGGAGGATAATGGGAACAGATGAGAGCTGCTACTTTGGCCAAGGGAGGGTCTGGGTATGTTAAGAAATCCCATTGAAGTCTGTTGGGGTCTCCAGGGATGGGAGGGCTTCAGAACCAGAGGAACAGACATAATACGCTAGTCAGCTTGTCCAGAAAAAAAGGCAGTCCCAAGATTTTTTAAGAATGCTTAAGGGCTTACCTGGCGGCGCAGTGGTTCAGAATCCGCCAGCCAATGCAGGGGACACGGGTTCAATCCCTGGTCCTGGAAGATCCCACATGCTGCAGAGCAACTAAGCCCGTGCGCCACAACTACTGAGCCTGCGCTCTAGAGCCTGCGAGCCACAACTACTGAAGCCCGCGTGCCTAGAGCCTGAGCTCTGCAACAAGAGAAGCTGCCGCAATGAGAAGCCCGCGCACCACAACGAAGAGCAGCCCCCGCTCGCTGCAACTAGAGGAAGCCTGCATGCAGCAACGAAGACCCAGTGCAGCCAAAATAAATAAACTAATTAATTATATAAAAATTTATATATTTAGGGGCTTCCCTGGTGGCACAGTGGTTGAGAGTCCGCCTGCCGATGCAGGGGACGCGGGTTCGTGCCACGGTCCGGGAGGATCCCACATGCCGCGGAGCGGCTGGGCCCGTGAGCCATGGCCGCTGAGCCTGCGCGTCCGGAGCCTGTGCTCCGCAACGGGAGAGGCCACAGCAGTGAGAGGCCTGCGTACCGCAAAAAAATAATAATTTAAAAAAAGAATGCTTAAAAATCCCACAAAATACATATTTCTACAAACACCTAAAATTAGGGCCTTATTTTGGATTAAAAACTGCCCTCCTGGTCCTCCAAACCCTAGGCTGTAGCTGGGTGTTGGAACTGGGAAAAGGGGGGCTTGGTGAGCCGGCGGTTGCTCAGGCCCACCTTCCCCCAGACAGGTGATGCTCGTGTTCACTCCCTCCCCACCTCTTGATTGGGAAAACCCTCTTCCCCACAGCCTGGACTTGTCACCTTGCTCCTGGTTTCTTTAATCACAGCGTTCAAGAACCTGAAATACTCGCTCACGCGTAGGTGCCAAGTGAGACAACTTTCTCCATGCAACAGCGCCTTTTTCTTCCCTTCCCTTATGATACCTGCGCCCACGGGGAGTGCCCCCCCCCCCCCCCCCCCACCCCCCCCCCGCTTCCTCTAGTCCTCCCACCAGGACGCCCTCCCTGTCAGGCCCTCCCAGCTGTGCTTCCTGCCGCCTCCACCTAGCCTGGGCTCCATCTTCTGCCTTCAGTCCAAGCCTCCCTGTAACCACACGCATTGATTTCTTTCTTCCGTTCCTCCCAACTAAAGTCTCCTTTCTCCCCAGTTAAATTGTACCCGTGCTACCAGACCAGCTTCGCAGCCTCATTTATTCCCTGAAGGCTTCTCTGGCCGCTGTAGCCCTAAGTTTTCTCTGAGCTCTCTGTTCCACACACTTTCGCCCTTTCACTCTTCCCTGATTGTTGCGTGTGAACCAGTCTTGTCTCTCCAGCTGTGTTGTAGGGCCCTCGGGGGGTGGGGGGCGCGGTGCATTGTGCCCCTCCTGACCCCAGCACTCAGCCACGGGAGTGAGCTCACGGGTGCTGCCGTGAGTGCAGGGCATGAACTCTGACGGTGAGTAATACAATGGGAGATGATAGTGTGGGGAAGGGGGCTGGTGGGGGGCTTCTTACTCAGAGACGGGAAATCCCTGGGGGAGAGGAGGGAGCAATTAGGCTCTTTGTGGATTAACCCAGAGCGCCTTCTGGGTAGGGTTGGGCCAGGCCCCTCCCCCGCTCCCAGGTGCTGGCCCCCAGCCCCACCTGGCGGGCAGCTGACTTCTTAAAAGTTCACCCAAGGAGCAGAGGAGGAGGCCACCAGGAGGACCGGGACGATGAGCGCTGAGCATGGACAGCCACAGCAGTCCAGGGGCCGGAGGGGCCGGAGCTCTGGAGACAAGAAGTCCAAAAAGCGTAGCCGGCGCAAAGAAACCTACTCAATGTATATCTACAAGGTGCTGAAGCAGGTGAGAGCGGGAGCTAGGAGCGTGTGAGGAGTGCTGGCAAAAGAGCCTGGAAAGGGCACTGCATGGAGAGCGCGGGGCGCAGTTTACTTGCGGCACTGAGGCCCCCGAGCTCCTCTGGAGGGGGTGGCACTTAATCTCGGAGGTCCCTGCAACCGCTCAGTGTCTGTCCTGACCTGTGATGTGCAGGAGACCCTTCAAACATGCTCCCACCACAGTCCAGAGGCTTACAAGGCTTCTGGACAGACCAGATTATTAAGCGGAACGTTAGGTGGGACATAGTTAAAGGAAGACCACAAAAAAGTGCCGGGCTGAAGGTGACCAGGTGCCAAACATACACTGGCACGAGAAGTACTAGTTAGTGGTGGCTAGAGTGAGGATACTAGTTAGTGGTGGCTAGAGTGAGGATACTAGTTAGTGGTGGCTAGAGCGCAGAGCAGTACGTGTGAACTACAGCCTTGGGGAAGCCTTCCAGACGGGCGGCACTCAGTCTCTGGGGGGGCTAAGGGGTTGGTCTACCTTAGAGCTAAGGAACCCCAGGTACATAAAGGCTCAGTGGGGTGACTGAGTCCCCCCTGGCTCTGGGGGTTAGTCCCACCCCTGACCCACACGTGTGCTCTGCTTCTCCCAGTGCACCTGTGAGAGGCACCTACTCCTGGGACTCTCGCCCTGGCAGGCATTTGGGGGCACTCATGTACCCAACCAGTGTGTCGGGCAACCTGGCCTCAAACGCTGCCCTGCTCAGCAGAGCCGGGGCCGGGAGGACGGAGGGGTGTCTGGGCTGCCTGCCCTCAGCCTCCCCAACCTCCCTGAGCCTCACCCCTTGTTAGGTGAGACCGCAGACTGGAGCCTGTCTCCGGTCTGAATCCCCGGGTCTCTGGAATGCTCTCCTGGGGTGGGCCCGGCACCCATGTGGATCGGCCAAAGGGCAGCAGCAGAGAAGACGCCAGTGTCCTGAAGAAAGCGGGGGTGGGAGCGGGTATCAGTGAGCCTGGCAGCTTAGCCTAACTTTTTGGCTCAGAGCTCGTGCCGGGGGGGTTGGAGCAGGGCTGGGCTGCCGCGCGTGTCCCCCGTGCAGTGGGGTGAGCCACTGTCCCTCCTCTGCAACCCTGAGGGGGACAGGATGTGAAGACGGCACGCAGGGGTCAGGCTGAACCCACGTGGTACAGGCCCAGGTTTCCAGCTGTCACGTCCGGGGCACCAGAGGCGGTGGGCAGAGCGGGGGCCCAGGCTTAGTTCCGTGGCCACCACCGGCTTGACCTGCCTCATCAGGCAGTCACTTACCTCTCATTTACAGAGAAGCAAAAATCCGCCTACTCACATTTTAGGACTGTTATGAGATCCCTACCATTTGTTTTACTAGAGGTCACCTAGTTCAAAAACTTCTGTGACAGAAGAGAAAGCATGCCCGGAGGAAAGTGCCGTTATTTAAGGTCATACGGTGACTCATGGGACAGCCACAGAAGCCAGGTCTCCTCACCCCCAGTCTGGTGCTGAGATTGTGTCCTATGAGTGTCCTCTCTGGAAAATAATTTGGTCACGATTTACCAAGTTATGTGCACAAGCCCTCTAGGAACTTCTAGGAATAACCTTCATTGTGCTCACACGACTGTTCAAAGACGTATTTATTATAACACAATGTAATAGCAAAACAAAACCCCTAAATGTCCATTAAGAGAGGAATGTATAATATAAACTATGATTCGTCCATACTATGGAACACTGCAAATGCATTAAATGAAAAAAGAGAGGTAGCATTGCTTATCTCTTGCAGTTGGGAGAAATTTTTTTTTAGCTTGGATATAGTAGTAAAAAAATAAATCCCTATTTCCATGTCTCTCGGCCTCTGGAAAGAGGCTGGTAAGGGGGCCTTGCAGTCCCCAGCTTGGGGCTGGGGCTTGGGGCAGAGTCCCCGTGTTAATCGACTGGTCCTGCTGCTTCTCCAGGTGCACCCCGACATCGGCATTTCCTCCAAGGCCATGAGCATCATGAATTCGTTCGTGAATGATGTGTTTGAGCGGCTGGCTGGCGAGGCCGCCCGGCTGGCCCAGTACTCGGGCCGAACCACACTGACGTCCCGGGAAATCCAGACAGCTGTACGCCTGCTGCTTCCAGGGGAGCTGGCCAAGCACGCTGTGTCTGAGGGCACCAAGGCCGTCACCAAGTACACCAGCTCCAAGTGACCTGGGGCCCAACCTTAATAAAGGGTGAACTGCTCCCTCGTGCTGTGGTGATTTGAAAAAGGGATAGGTGAAGGCAAGGTGTGATGGGGGACAAGGGTGTCGTCACTTTTTTGGCTCCCAAGGTGGAAGAACACTTATTCAACCTTTAAAAACTGCTTTCTGGGGGATTCCCTGGTGGCGCAGTGGTTGAGAGTCCGCCTGCCAATGCAGAGGACGTGGGTTCGTGCCCCGGTCCGGGAGGATCCCGCGTGCCGCGGAGCGGCTGGGCCCGTGAGCCATGGCCGCTGAGCCTGCGCGTCCAGAGCCTGTGCTCCGCAACGGGAGAGGCCACAGCAGTGAGAGGGCCGCGTACTGCCCTCGTCCTAAAAAAAAAAAAAAAAAAAAAAAAAAACTGCTTTCTGGGTGGGCCCCATGAGGGACATGTGAGTGTACATGTAAATGTACAACGTTCTCATTCTTAGTGAGATGAAGTGCGACTTGGCCTGGATTAGAATCCTGGGTCTACTGCTAGCTGTTTCCATCATGCCCCCTCTGGGCCTGAAATTCCATGCGTGTTACCCTTGCAGGCCATGGTTTTGTGATGCCGTTTCCGGCACACCATAACTTTTGTCCTGTGCCGGGCACAGGGGCTACACAGGTCTATTCTTCAAGACACAAAAATGAAAGGCCCAAACCAGCTTCTAAATAACCGATTGGGATCTCTAAGATGTTTTTATTTCCCCCTAATGCTTTCTTCCCCTTAACTTCAGAACAAATTGGTGAGAATGTTTTTGAGACTCCTAACTTTTCTTTCCCAGTTCTATTTGGAAAAATCTCAAATCCATAGAAAAAAATTGCAAAAATGTACAATGACCACATGTATGACCTGCACCTGGATTCACCACTTAACATGTGGCCACATTTGCCTTTTCTTTGTCATTCAGCCTCTGAGGCAGTGGGGTGAAGGGGTGGGGTTTAGTGAACAGTCCAAAATCCCTTACGTTCCCTTTGTAATTTCAGCTTCTTGTACTGAAAAGCCTCACTGTAATGATGGCTGAAGTGTGGCCCTACATACTTCACACGTGTTTCTTCCTACGTCAAGCCTACTGTGGAGATGCCGAGAGATGAGAACAAATTATCCACACTTTGGTCCCACGGCCAGAAAGGGGCAGGCTCGGGAGACGTGGCCGAGGAACTCGGCTCTTCCCCACTCCCGCTGTGTTTCACACCTTGCTACTCAAGGTGTGATTCAGAGGCCAGCAGCATCTGTGACTCCGGGGACTTTGTTAGAAATGCAGGATCTTGGCCCCAGCTCAGAGTGCAGAATCGGACCCTGCATTTCGACAAGATCCTCGGGTAATTAATTTGCAGGCGCATTACGCCTGAGAATTCCTCTCTGGCTGCTCTTTGCTGCTGCCTCTCTCCTCCCACTGTCCTTTGCCCCATGCCTTATATATAAGTGACATATGGCTTATGACTTATTCATAAGTCCCTACTGGACACTGAGCTAAAAGCTCACCCCAGCTGACCAGGGCCAGGCTGCTGCTGTGTTTCGTATTTTCCAAAGAGGCTTCTCATGAGCCTGGAGCAGTGATGGGGAACCCACAGAGGGCTCAAAATGAGCCCCAAACACCACTGAGTCCCACCCACTACTCCCAATGTCATTCTTTACGAGGGTATAGCTTACTCGAACCAAGTGAACTACCGTCAGAGCCCAGGGAAACAGGCGTGCTTGTGCTCTCACTTTAAGGGGGAATTCCCTGGCGGTTCAGTGGTTAGGACTCAGCACTTTCGTGGCGGCCGTGTGCCCGGTACAGTCACATACGCGAGTAAGGAGGCTCGATCTGCAGTAAGGAATACAGGGTCTCCAGCTGACAGGTACAGTTGGAGTAACACCTTTAGGACTGCTCTCCACCTAGAGCCTTCCAGTTTACAGGGTGACCTCAAATGAAGCCCATTCTTTCATTTGATGCTCACAAGGCAGGTAGCCACAGCTGACCCGCACTCTGCCCTGGTCAAGGCTTGCTAACAAGGGAGCTGGTGTCCCCAAGCATGCTGCCTCCAGGACATCCTCTAAGTGTCCCCCGGTCTTGTACCTGCAGCCCCCTCCCCTCACAACCTTAGAACTTTGGGACAATGGGACAGAACTCTTAAAACTGGGCTGTTCTGGCTTTGAGGGGTAGAGTCCTGGAAGCACAGAAGTTCTTTGGATTCCAGGACCAGCTCACAAAGGGCAGTGTGAGGAGTGAGCACCACGTCTGAAGGGTGAGTGAAGTGATGGGAGAGCAAAGAGCAAAGTGCATCCCTGGGTCTCTGGCTGGGGCTACTGGCTGGGGAGAGGGACCCCTGTGCGGGCCAGTCCCGGCTGGGCCCCAGACGTTCACACAGCGACCCTGCCCGCCCCTGCCTGTGGTCAGTCTTCCCTTGGACTATTAATTCCAGAACCAGGGCTCTGCTCTGGGGAAGGGACCCTTCTCTACACTCATCCCTCACCCCCTCTTTCCGCCCACCACCCTAGACCGTTGCAGCATCCCTGGGCTGCACCTTCACCTGGAGGGCACCAGCTGCGGACTCCGATGGGCCACTTCCTTAGCAGGAGCCCTTAGGGCCGTGCCCATTCTCCATCCTCCTGGCTTATCCATCAGGAGACTCCCTTCCCCAGGGACCCCAGTCCCTCACTTTCTCTAAGCCTCAGGGAGTGCTCACTGTAACTACCCTCTCACTCCCCCTGAGGGCCCCTCACTTCACTGAACTCCACCTCGGGACCATGAGTAACCTTAACGTCCCACCTTCTGGAACCTCGAGTTCACAGTCCTCAAAAGCCTCTGTGGAGCCCACCTCCCCTACCAGCTGGCCCTCCTCCTCTGGGGCTCAGAGCATCCCTTGCTGGCTTCCTCCTCTCCAGAGCTTACCAGCACCTCTGGGACTCCTCCCACCTCATCTTGCAAGAGCTCTTGCTGGGCCAAGGGCAGCCCCTGCTGGAACCGGTGCCCCACCGGGAGCGGCAGTCCTTCAAGTACAGGCTCTCCTCGCGCTACCTGTACCACCTGGGGCTGCTGTGCCGGTTCCACGCCCTCTATGACCAGATGGTGCAGCCGCAGAAGCGGTGGCTGCTGCGACGGCTGCTGCACGGCGTGGCGGGCCGCGTGCTGGAGCTCAAAGACGATCTGGTTCGCATGGACCTGTGCGAGACCCACTGCCTGGACCAAGCGCTGCAGGACTTAAAGCTCACCCCGGTGGGCCGTCTGCGGTGAGAACCATGCCCGTGCCAGCTGGGGGCGGGGACATGGGGGGAGGGCTAGCCTTGACCTCCCACTCCTTGTGGAAGCAAGCCACGTCCCAGCCAGCTGGGGGTGGGGGTGACCTTGACCTCCTGCGGATACCCCTTGCATTGCGACACCTGCAAGGGAAGGAGGGCAGGGCAGATCAGAGGATGGGGTTTGGGAAGTGCATGTAGGTAGTTGGGGGGTAGCCAGAGAGTCAGGCTGGAGGCTCTGCCTGGCTGGGAGGACCCATGAACGCAACTCTCTTGGTGAAGAGAGTCCCCCAGAGGCTTGTTCCTCAAAACGTGGTCGGTGGGCCAGCAGAGCCAGCATCACCTAGGAGCTTGTTAGAAATGCAGAACCTCTGGCTGCACCCCGAACCCACTACAGTATTCTGCACCTGCGTTTTCACAAGACCCTCAGGTGATGTGTGTGCACCAGCAAGTTCCAGAGCACAGAGCTTCTGCACCGGCCTCCAGTCCGCCCCAAGGTCATGGTTCACTGGTCCACGTCCAAGGCAGTCTCCAAGTTTCCCCAACTAGCTGCATCAGACTCAGCTGTGGACTTGAAAAAACAAACATTCTCCAGGCCCTGCCATTCGGCTGTGGTCAGGGCCTAGGAGCCTGCATTTTAAGAGATTCCCAGTTGATTCAGATGCACAGCCAGGATTGGGACCATTGCCCATTACCTACCGTGATCCTACAGAATTCAACTCTGGCCACACGGTGGGGGTGAGGGAAGAGAGGGTTGACTTGGGGGCATCTGCCCATAACCTGGACATTTCCCACCCCAGAGCTCTAGGATGGAAGAAAACAGCCCCAGTGTCTGTGTGTACAGCTGAAAATGGTAAGGGATTGGCCAGATGGTCTGGATTTTTATTCTCATCTCCCTCTCCCATGTTGCCCCAAAGGCAGACCTGGAGGTTCCAATTCCCAAATACTTCCAGCTGGAGCAATCCAACGTCCTGAGGGAGCGAGAGCATATGCTGGCAGAGCTCCTGTCCAGACGAGAGCCAGTGTTCGCCGAGGAGGTAAGTCAGGGAGATGCCCTCAGGAACAGAGCTGCCACCCTTCAGGACACAGAGGTCCTGCCCTGCACTTTGCCCACCTCTGGGTGCTCTCTGGGTAATCCCTGGCCTCCTCATGGCTGCTCTTATGCTCCTTGTAACCTTCCAACACCAAGGTAGAGGGACAGGACTTGTGCACCTAGATGCTCTGGGAAAACCTTACCCCCGGGTTGTCTTTTGGGGGCTGGTCTCCCAGCTGCTCACCTGGATGCAAGCCCTCCCTCATTTCCTCCTCCTTTGCCCCTGCTCTGGCCAGAGCTTTCCAATATTACCCCAGATGGAGGCCATAATCCTACTGCAAAGGGCCGAGCAGGCCAGGCAAGGCAGGCTTTCGAGCCACCTTCATGTGAGAGATTCGGAAAAAGGAGGAGGGAGATTGAAAGATTCGGGAGGAAGGGCGGCCCAGGTTCAGTCAGGACGAAGCAGCGATCATCATACAGAAGGTAACCCCTCACCACCCTCACCCCCACCCTCCCCGCACCTAGGAGGAAGGTCAGGGTAGAGTCGCCTCCTCCAGGAAGCCTGCCTGGCTCAGCAATTGATGACAGAAATGTAGGTGCTTGGATTCTGTTGCCCCATGACTAGATATTAAGCTAGAGACCTTCATCAGTCAATAAACATGTATATTATTTATTATTTATTCTACATCTCTATCCCCAAAAGGACTTAAAGTGGGATATACCATAAAAAGCCCCCCAAATAGAAAGACCATTAAAATCAAGGGAGAAAGGGAATTCCCTGGCAGTCCGGTGGTTAGGACTCCATGCTCTCACTGCCAAAGGCCCAGGCTCGATCCCTGGTCAGGGAACTAAAATTCCACAATCTGCACAACGGCCAAAAATATTAAAAAATAATAATAATACAAAAATAAAAATTAAAAAATTAGGGGAGAAAGATCCATAATCCAGCAGCAGAACAGAGTAGACGATCATTCCAAAAACTTTTAAGACTGTTAAAAATGAGTCACTAAAATGTATCCTGAGCCTCCTGAGGCAAAAGGAAACACGATGAATGAAATCGAGAACGGATGAGGTCCCGGTGTCTTTGGGGTCTGTGCCACCTGGGGTCACCCTTTACATTAATCACACCCCATCCCACCTGACTACAGAAAACCCAGCTCTGTCTCTAGATTTCTCCATGCCTTCTTACTGTCCTGGCGGGCGTGACTCTCCTATGTCACCTGGCAGCCCTGCTGTCTGCCCTGGCGCGGGGGCGCAGCCCCTGTAGCATCCCCCCAAGGGTGCTGTTAAGCTGGCTCACTCTGGGCCGTAGCGGTTACCAGCTTGACGAGATTGGAGGCTGCCTAGACAACTCCAGGGCAGAAACGGCCCAGGACTGCTGACTTAGGGCTGCTGGATCTTTCTCTCTTAAATCAATCTCCCCCCATCTTCTCTCTCAAGTCCTAGTGCCTCAGAAGCATCTGTTTCCTAGTCCAATACAGGAAACTTAGAACTCTTTCC